TCAGATATTCCAGTAGCAATGTTTGGGACAATTAACCAAATATGGACTATTGCAAGTTTTCTATCTAATTTCCAGAATCCTGTACTGGCATTAGAACAAGACTAAACATTAAAGATGAGACATTACAGCATTTTTCATGAGCACAATATTCAGAGCAAATAACTAATTAACTAAATATTTAAAATATTAAATAAATATTTAGCAAATAACTAAGGGGCCCTTTTGTAATATCTTGCTTTGCAGAAGGTGTACATACACCTCAAACCTTAACATACTGTTAAATATCATGTTCTCTTTCAACAAGAAAAGGTAAAGCATGTTTCATGTAAAATTCTTTAAGCTTTGGAAATAGTTCTTGTGACCAATAATCTTGATCAAAATATATTCTGTCTACGCACATCTCATTACTTTGTGATAAATAAACACAAAAGTCACACCATTCCAGACCTGTTAATGCTAGCTGCCCTTGGACTTGAGCAAAATAGCCTGACCGATGTTCACTCTTCAAGTAAAAGTTTCCATCTTCATTTAGTTTAAGATAGAAGTTTGGATCTGCAGCTGCTTGTTCTAAAGTCTCATCTTTTTTTGAGAAAGGGCATTTGATCTCAAGAAGTCCATATTTTGAGCTGCCTGATGGGTCAAAAATTTTGCCATCAGGGCTTGCAGCTAGATATGGAGTAGATGGACTTACAGTAATCCCTGCATCAAATACTGCAAAGTGCTTTTGTTTATTTTGCATTTTATGTGCATATGTCATTCTTGCAATTTTTTCTTTCATTTTTCCATGATTAATTGATTTAACTTTTGATAAATCTTGATTCTCAAATATGCTGTTCAGCATTGCATTTGTTAGGGTTTTGACTCTGAAATAAACTTTTCCAAAGTTTGAAGAGGTCAGTCTAAAGTTGTGTTGTTCTATCCACTCAGAACATTCTCCTTGAAGAATGGTTCTTTTTTCTAGTGCTTGAGCTTGATCCAAATCTATTAATATGTGATCTTCAAAAAAATATTTTTCAATTGGAGACTGTAAGCTGTCTAAGATCAAACAAGTTCAGGGAGTCTCCAGAGTTATAGACAGGAATGTCAGGGTATTCTGTGCATTTTTCATCTGAAGGCAAATCAAAACGAATATTGTTTGTTACAAAGAGAGTGTTGGGGCGACCAAAATCCTGAAGTTGGTATGACAAATAAGAACCAATAGGAACATTTCCAAACACTGTATTTACTTCTAATACAGACTCCTGATCTGATAGTAAATATGAAAATGGAGGGGGTTTGTCTATTTGCTTAAGATAACTGACCTGATCCATAATATTTACATTGTTCAATCCAGTCCTGAATTCTGGAGCGCGGGCATCATAAAGTTTACACMTTACAGGTTCTSTTRCTCTGYTTCCGTCGCGATCAGTAGAGGCACAAGCAAAATGAGTTCCCATTACTGGCAAGGGACTGATGCTTGATGCTCTTGGAATATGCCATTGCTGTGGCAAACTTGTACAAGTAGCATTGCTTGGGATATCTTTAACATTCAAGCATGAGTAATCGTTTAATTGATACAGTAGGGCAAACACGTGGTTACAATGACCGCCACTGCCGGCTTTACAAGTACAATGAGCCTTTTCAACGTTAGCGATGTTTTCTTTGTTTTCCTTTAGCATGACTATCAAATAATGTGGATCTTCACTCTTTTTTAACGATCGATAGCAACGGGATTTGATAAAGMAGYGGWCTTGACCATTACGATGTGCAGCATACATATCATGGATGTAGCCTTCCCGGAAGAATTTGTAACTTTTTTCGCTGGTATTTTTTCTGCCACACTGACTCATCCAATCTGTCAAGRTAGCAGGAGTAGCTTTCGGAACACTTCTKAATGATYTTGACCACGATAATTCGGCATTGCTAAAGCAAACACAGCATTTTACATGATTTTTGCAACAACAACACTCCACTTTCGAACCAACGTCCGCCATCTTGAATCGCATGTAAATACCCAATACAGGTCACGTGATTTCCAAGCCGATTAGGTCTATTCTCTACAAAAAGGATTAAAARTATTAAAAAAAGGCATCAACATCAAAGGTTCACTTTTTAGAAATACTTTACTCCTTTGGAATCCATGATATTTATTGTGATGCGAAAGAGGTGTGCCGCAGAAACTACGACCGCAYGCGTCGTCATTTCGTCCTGCAAAGCCTTAACAGCTTCAATCCATGATGCAGGACGCTTTTTTGCTTTGGAAAAATCGGCATCAGACAAAAATTTGAACAGATTTGTCTCTTCAAACTTCCCAGTCTTCTGAAAATTAGAGAACAAATCGTATAGGTACGCTGAATGGTGGTCACRTCAGCTACAATCCTGGACAAAAAGATTTGAGAATATTTTAAACAACGCTTAAATCCCGGAGTAGTAAATCGATAAAAATCGATATCGATAAAAATCGATAAAAAATCAGTTGATTTTTATCAATTTCTATCTGCAATCGTTAAAAATCGATTTTATTTTTTAGTGTGRGTTCGATTTTTATCGATTTCTGTCTAGATTTTATCGATTTTTATCTATAGTGCGTTTGTTGTTGAGAGTGAAGGAAATCAATTTTAATTTGATCAAGTGATAAGTACGATCATAGAATCTTTATTTCAAACAATGAATAATAATTATTTCGACATTTTCTATGGTAGTACAGCATAGCTCTAAAAATAAAATCAGAAAGAGAGTTTTAGATTCGCGTTTACTGCAACCTCCACGTCAGCTACGTCAAATTTATATCTTTTATGATTTGACTAAAATTTAAAACTTACGTAAAAAGTGATCTATTTTATACACAATCGCGAAAGAACGGAGCCTAATACAAAAAACAGTGATTACGTGATCAGTTTTGACGTTTCAGGCGTTTGCCGCAAACGCGTATCTATAACTCTCTAGAAAGTCAGCGGTGTTTCAATTGATTACTTTTAAATTTTATCAAATGAAATGAGGTCGGACTTTCCTCAGTATATTCTTATTTATGTGTATAAATGAACTGTTGAATGACCGTTTTATAATTCCGGCTACCAAAGCCTTTTTTAACTTGAACACTAGCTTCATTAATGTAAAGTTTCCTGATTATTGACAGTTTGTAGACTATAATYTTACTTCAATCTTTAGTATGCTATCAGGTATCGGGTACATCCATCAGTGGCTAAAATATTGGCACAGGCAACATTGAAGGCTTCACAATGGTACGATTGAAYAGAGGCAACCATGAAAATTAAACTTACAATCCATAACAGGATCGCTTTATAAAGACACAAAATAAAAGCAATTATAAATTCGGCAATACATAGTATGGTGAA